GCTAAGGACTTCCCGCGTGGACTGGAGGAGAGCATTGAGGGAGAGGTCGAAACAGCCCCTTGCTTCCTGATGAGCTGCATCATTAGCCACTTCGCTATTCCTCTGTTTTCATAATGTTTTTGACAAAAAGCTACTACGACTGGGTTGCTGGCATAGGCGTAGTATTAGTTAGCTTTCCGACAGATATGGGACCTTGAGTGAACTTCCTAGAGATAAAAACTTCCGCCATCTACAGTAATTCAACAAAAATCGCTGTCGGAATGATGGAAATTGACAAGGAAGAAAATGAAGCGTATCGTAATTCACGAAATGACTGTGGATGACAATCGCAAAAAAACTGGGTCTCTAATGCATTTTTCGGATCCCATATTTTTTATTTATGAAGAGGCCTTCAAGCTAAGAAAGGTAAGTCGAATAAAAACGAAACTCGGACAGACAATTTTCTATCGTTTGATGAGAAAAGTCATCACTGAAAGGAATGAGAGATCGTTGACGTAAAAAAACTAGAAGAATTTGGAAAACTCATCAAGTCCGATGTCCACGACTTTGTCGAAGGTGATATACTTAAATAAATTACTACCAGTGTCTAATTAAATGTTCTTCCTTTAAGTGAATTCCCATCACCACCAGAGAACTAGTGCAGTAGTCCTTGCGTCAATACGACAAGTTTCGTCTTGCTCTCTTCTTCAGGAAAAGTTCGTTTAATACTTGAATAGCTCCAATAGCGTCCAATCCTGGGTGCATCACAATTATTTCCATTTAAATGTTAATTTCCTAGCTGAGAAATGTTTTCTTCTCCGCAACTCTCGAAAGCCAGTGATTGTTAAGACTGCTTTACTATTAATTGGGAAAGTAATGGCTTCCAGACAAAACTGTCAACCTCTTTTCTGGCATGGGTGTCACTTCTATGGAACAAACTTCTCGCTCTACACCGCAAACTGACATCCAGCAATAACCCAGCCAAGATGAACTGGTATGCCTTTGGTGATTCATTACGATAACTGCATTGTAAATACTACTTGAGTAGGCCAGCTACAAAGTATCTAGCTATAAAATATATATATATATATATATATATATATATATGCGAAAGGCATTGTGGTGCAGTGGTCGGAGGCGCACTACAACACACACGTGGAATGGATCTCTGCACCCAAAGCCCACCAAGCTTTCCATCCCTCCGGGGTCAGCAATTAGGACCAAACATGTCTGGGAGGATAGCAGCACTGGCTCGATACATCGGTAGTCCACCGCAAGCCATTGTAAAGGCCAGATATGCATTCAATCACCTCCAAACGATGTGTAGTGAAGTCGAATGCATGGAGCATCCCTCAGGGATTGGCCAACGTCGAGAACTTTATCCTTTTATATATGCATATGACCAACTATGAAGTATATATATGAAATAAAACACAAACGTTTCATTTCGTGTAACCCCTTTTCACTTCTGCTGTGTGGATCCAAGCACTTACAATCGATCCGTTTTCCTTGTACTCATCTTACACAAAGGTCTTCTAACACGCTGCGTGTTGTTTCGGCTGCTGCTTGAGGATTTCGTCTTCTCTTGTATGAATGTCGTACTATGCTGGTTGAGTAGAATCTCCCAGAAATCTTGGAGATATGCGAGACGGAGGCTTCCCACGCAGATTGGATGAAAGCGCTGAGGAGAGGATCGACCAAAGACCTTGCTTCCTACTGGAGTGCACGAATGACCACTACACTTTCCTTCCTCCAATTCTATAGGATGCGTTACCTGCCAAAAAAGCAGACCATCATATTGGATGCTAGCATTAGATCAACATCTGTCTCAGAACACCCACATCGCGACAAGGACCAGCTATGGACTGTCGGCTAGAACCAACGAGGCCTTGAAGAAGGTGAATTTGCGAACACGTTAACCGAATAAATTTTTTTTATACTTTTGATTGAGAATCCAGGAAATTATTACCGGAATTTTTTGCAACTAGATGACGATAGCGGCACATTCGAGCACTTATGGACCCCTCTAAATCAGAAATGTATGGCTTTGTCGCACTAGCCAATGTTGACAAATGTTTCTCTGTTGTCGTAGGTGCGGAAGACTCCACAGTACTCAGCCAAAGTGGAACTCTTCGTCGTTTCAAATAAAATGTAAAAACCAAACGATGGAAGATGTCACTGGCAGGTATATAGGTAAGGCATTAGAAGAAGTTCACTGACAGAAACGAAACGACAAACGTTCTTTTCATCTCTTCTAAAATGAAAATTCGATACAGTTCAATTTAGAACCTTCCCTTTGAATTTACGTCTCTTCATCTTCTTCTGTTTAAGTTTTGACTTATACAATTCCCTTATTTACGCGATCAATCCCCAAATATCTCTTGGTTTCTTTTTTCTTGCAAACGTAATCAATAAATGTCTTAAGGCCCCACTGTGGGTTTTAATGCGTCTAATGAATCTCTGTCTTTTTCTCTATTTTTTCTATTTCTATTTTTATGCGATTAGTCTTCATGTCTACTGTGCGGATCCCAGCACTTTTCACATTTGGTTCGTTTCCTCGCATCCATAATCCACGAAGATCTTCTAACTTTTACGTGTCGCTTCGGCTGCTGCTTGAGGTTCTTCATTTTGTCTTAAATGTACTAGAATGCTGGTCGAGCAATTCTCCTTGGAGTCCCAAGACAGCCGGGTGAAGCGTTTCGGATCCCTGACGTCGGAGGGATCAGAGGCTTAGTAAATCTATGGCGGGATGAAACGAGCGCCGCGCTCGTGATGATCGCTACAACGACCACTGTGCTATCCGCCACGGCTCTTTTTCCTTATTGATGCCATAAATGATAGTCGAGCGTGGTTTTCACTGGTATCTCAAGACAGCTGTACTGAAGAGTTCTCGGCTCTTCACCATAGTCAATCGACAGACCGTGTGAATTGGGCGAATCTGTGCAGCTTTGTGACGAGTATTCTTCTAGAACAGTTATGACTGCAGCGGAGATACAAAATTTTATGGATTAAAAGCAAAACTAATCATAAAAAATTATTTGTGATCTAGAAATATAAGAGCAAATTGGAAAACAGAAATACAGAGAGGGTGTGTGGAGGAGAAAGAAACGTATGGAACTTTCAATGATGGTAGCCAAAAAAAAGAGAAGATAAAAACACAAGGAAGGAGATAAAAAAGCGAGGCCATAAAAACTGGTGGGCGGGAAGGTCAGTGAAAAAGGTGGGATGATAATAGTGATAATAACAAACAGAAGATTAGAAGCAGCCATGAAAGCATGAGTTTTTTAAGGATGTAAAATGATTGAGTAGCTTCGTTTTGTCTAAAAATGATTTGAGCATTTGAACTCAGTGTTTGTCACTAACGCCTCTAGCGAACCTGTGGGGCAGCATGAATTTCACAGTAACCAGTGAATCATAACAACTGCCATAAAAGCCACTGGTAAGAGACTGGCTATAGTCCACTGTTAAATGAGAACAAGAAGATCAGCAGGAGAGTTCTTCCTCTTCCACAGAAGAGCCGATGAGAAGCGTCTATGACAGAACACTCAGTGAGAGGTTTCATGAAATGAGAGGTAAAAGATAAAAAAGGATATAGTTCTCGGCGTTGATCAATCCTTAAAGGATTGGCGCCATGGATTCGACTTCATTAAGCATATATGGAGGTTATTGAGTGCACATTTAGCCTTCACAATGACTTGCGGTGGCCTACCGATTTATCGAGCCAGTGCTTCTATCCCTGCAGCGAAGTCTGGTAGCAACTTGCCGACCCCGGAGAGATGGAGGGCTTAGTGAGCCAGAGGCGCGTGCATTGACCCCATGTGTGTGCTGAAAGTCGCCTCTGACCACTGTACCACACGCACCCTGAAGTGAGAGATACGAATAATAGTAATGTCTTAACTTTTATTTACTGCGCATTTTTAAAAGAATAGGCAGCGAGTAAAAGTTAAGACATTGTAGTTTCGACTGTAGCTTCAGCTTAGCAGAGTTCACTGCCGACTTGTGCTCTCAAATCGATCCCATTGACGGGTGTTTGGTGACAGCAGCTATGAAACACTGCTGAGAAAAAGGCGAAACGAAAGACCCGCATTGTGTGGTTGCTAACGCGTTTGCACCCAGAAAGGGTAATAGCAAATTCGATCCGCACCGCAAACGCCTGTGGTTCAAAGTTTTGCAAATATCTCAGCGTTATTGTGGTTATATTTCACATCACATCCTGCCATGGAAAAAAAGAGTAGGCAGTGAATAAAAACTGGATACATTGCGATCTAAATGTAACCTTACAGACTAATATGTCCTTGAACACGGTAATGTCCGCGAAACTATAAAAATGTGTAGACTCTAACAACAAAATCACGTAGGGATTTTGCAAGTGTGTGCATTAACTGAATGGAGAGCTGTGTGGACATTCTTTGGAGAAATGGAAAAGAGCTTCTCAGGCTTTAATTTCTGTAAGAGGACAACTAGCCCGTGAAAATGAGCAAGTTTACCTTTCCAGAGTTAGTGGTGGAGTGAACACCAATAATGGACAACTAGATTTTGTTTCGATGAAGAATGCCGCCCAAGAATGTACGTTGCTGCGGCTTAGATTTCGTATCACCGAACACCTCGCTGAGATCCTGGATTCAGATGTATTGTGAGAAAGTGTAGTTTTTAAATCCCAGATGGTTTGATAATTTAAATATTAAATAATAAACAGACAAGAAACAATAAACAGATAAATTATAAATAATAAATAAATCTGGCCTTCAATTACGAAGGCAAAGGGAAACAGACTAGAGTCGCACAGTAGCTTCACAAAAAATTTTCTTGATAAATCAAGAGAAAGCAGTGGAAGAATATTTCCCATCAGTGTTTCCCTCGCAGTTAAAGTCTTTCTGGTGTTTAGATCTTCTAAGAACACAGTTTTATTACTTGGTTACTTCCAGAGATAATGACGATATCACCATATAAACCATGTCACTTTCACGAAAAAAGATCTAAGAGCTCTTATTTGTTCATAAATCGCAGAATTCGAAGAATTTTCATTGGTGTTTTGCATTGGTTTTCGACTGCCCACTCTTCGTTGATTTCATGGAGACGCTGATTTCAGCATTTTCCTTTTCTTCAGGTACTTCCACGTTTTGCCTATTTGACTTGGTTATGATGTCGTTTCCGGTATTCTTGGCTTTTCCGTCGTTCACCGTTGGGAGAGCCGACAGCGCCTTCGTCTCATCTTGTTCTTTCGCAAGCTGATGCGTTGGCGACTGTTTCCTCTTTCCAGGAGCAAATTTCGAGAAAGCTCCGTCCTTCCACGAAAAAGGAAGTTCCCAATCCATGGATTTTGTTCTTTTCGTCCTTGTTTTTGGGGTGATAATTTGACCTGACTCCAGCTCCTTGCTAGTTTTTGCCTAAATTATCCATACATTGCTGTATCTGAGCGAAACATTCATACATTCCAACATAAACACACGCTACATATATATATATATATATATATATATATATATACATACATACATACAAACACACACTCAATTAAATGGCAACCTCCACCTTCAATTATTAATATCGAACAGCCCAAAGAGTTAATCCCTATTTTTTTAATAGGTTACCCATCTGCGGAAGGAACGGCTCTCTTTTACAAATCGGTCCTTCTTATCAACATCAGGCGCATGAGACCAAATGCTCACCGACCCATCAAATTTTAAAATGAGTAAGACCCAAATGCAGTTGCATCCATCTCAACGAAATTTTTTAAAACCTCATTTATCAAGTCTTCATCTGGTATGATAGACATCCACTATCACAAGGTTATCCTCAGAAACGTGATCACTGCCAAAAATGAACTGAATGCATTACAGAAGTTACACACAGGGATTAGCAAGCTATCCTACAGTGTAGTACGTGCCTGATCTATCGGTGCGCATTAAATGAAAAGGTACAAGTACGGAGTCAACTGATCGCATTTCGTTGAACGACTGTTCAAAAGATATTCAGCGATAATAACGTCGATAATGTAATCCTTGAAAAATTTGACAGGAAAGTTCGATTTCATCCAACCTCTATTGATGTGTCCGATTCACTGCGATTTGTCCACGAGGTTTTGCTTTTCGACGCTAAAAAATTGAAATGATGTTTACCATACGCTCTTTATTACCAGAATCTCTGTATTTCCTTTTTTGTAATGCAAATATTATCCACTGAGGATCGGCATGTGAAGTAGAGTGGTCGGGGATACCGTGCAATACACGCATTGCCTCTCGTTCGCTCGCAATATATTTCAAGCTAAGCAATCCAAGTATTCCTTCGAGAATGCGGTTAATTAGCACTGGACTTATCTGAGACTAGTTCACTCCTAACCAAAAAATCGGAAATTGTGATGATTCGCTGACTTCAAAGAGATGAAAGCTTTGTTAGCTCGTAGTGCAGGATTGAACGTCGGACCATTTGCACCATTGGGCATCTCTAACCATTAAGCTACGTATGCCTTTCCTTCTTATAGTAATGATAGCAGCAACAAAATTATTGTTGTCGCCTAGGAGTTTGTAGGAAATTACTCGTACTCAGTGCGTGTGAGAGAAAATAGGCCGATATTGAATGTCCGGAAAAACCTTAGCTTGGAAAGGCATTCCTGCTAAATACTAGTAAGAATAAATAAAGGATAAAACTCTCGGCGTTGCTCAATCCCTGAGGGATGCGCCATGTACTCGATTTCACTAAGTACCGTTGGAGGTGATTGAATGCATATCAGGCCTTTCGAATGACTTGCCGTGGCCTACTGATGTATCGAGCCAGTGCTGCTGTCTTCCCAGACAAGCCTGGTACCAGTCTGCCGAACCCGGAGGGATGGAAGGCTCGGTGGGCCACGGGCGCGAGATCGAGTCCACGTGTGTGTGTGTGTGTGTCGCAGTGGCGCCTCCAACCACACCCGCCCTTACGGAATACTGAAGCTTAAAAAAATGGAGAAAAAGTTTGAAAGATCGAACAAACAGGCAAAAATGGCACATTATTTTAAAACTATTCCGGTAGTTTAATGCAATCATTACATTTAAGAACACTTACGGTGCACTATAACTTTACTGACTGTGTAGGTGAGTGTACCTGGTTTGTCCTCTTTTTCTTTCTTGCGTTTCTGGAGTGAGAAAAGATAAAAGTTTCAGTCATTCTCTTTACTATTTTTTCGAAAGACTAACGCACTTGTGTGTTTCGTATAATAAGATAAGTAGTACCAGCAATCACAGACACAATACCGACAGCCACGACAATGAGAGCTTTTCGATAGTTGAAGATGTGCCATCGAACGGCTTTGCCAAGAGCCTCATCTGCCACCTTTTGCGTGCTCATCTGCTCAACTGAACATCAATAGAAATGGACACGGTTGTCGAACACGAGCTATCAAATAAGATAATCACATTAGCAAAAAGGTTATCACCATATATCTTTTAGGGATTGTTTGATACCGCAACCACATGTCTCATCGTTGTTGAACTTAATTACTTGGATGGCTCGCCATTACATGGGCTGCTGCGAGCCCCAGCATAGTTTCCATTTTTTCGGAGTTTTGCTGGTTTACCCATTGTAATTCCCTGGAATCTTTAGGTTAGAGGAGGCAAAGTGTACCACAGGTCGTCATCCAGTCGCAGCCCTTGTGGATGAGAGGGAGATTCGTCACCATGCCACTGATTTGATACAAGGTCTGTGGTGGATCCCGGTATTTTTTACTTGATCTACTCTTAGCTGACCCTCCTGAGGAAAATGCTGGTGAATTCCCCAGCTGCACATCGCTGCCTAACATCTAGGAGCACCTCCTAGCCACGATGAGGCAGTAAACCGTTGGGAGTGTTGCTAGACTACAGACAGTAAGCATGAATGAGTGATTTTTACAAAGGTCCCCGTGAACCCTAAGAATGACACATTTGTTTGAAAATATGACCCGTCCTCACATGCTGTGCGAATCACAGCAATTCTTTCACTTGATTCGTTGCCCCTCATCTGTCGTTCACGAACGTGTTCAGGTTTACTTCTGGGTCAGCTGCTATTTTAGGATTTTTGATTTTCCCCGTGAATGTCGTTGAATGTTGGTTGAGCTCATTTTTTCTGAAATTGTCGAGCCTTGTTTGAGCGTTTCCATGTCTACACGATAGGGAAATACCGGTCTCTGGGTATCCTAGGGAGGTTTTCCAAGAGAAATTTGGCAGTATTTTGATCATCTCAAAGGGAAGGTTGAAGTGCAGCTATGTCCAACCAACCATCCTGTTTTTGTTGTACGGCATCACTAACCAATGCAGTTGCTATGTACAACCCTATACAACTTCAGTCCCATGAAGGCAACAGAAGAATTCGTGGATAATTGTACGGGCGATTCACACGGGCATAATCACTTTTTCTCTATGTAGTCATTCAATGGTCACTCATGGAAGTAATTGGGTTCGTGCTTAGGTTTGGCCGCTGCTTGAGGATGTATCGTCTTCTCGGCTCATTGAAACGTTGAATGGCGATTGATCGTGCTTCTCTTTGGAATAACATGAGAGGCCTAACAGGGTATTCAATGTGTTTCACCTAAACGATTCACGTACACTTGTTGTTGATCTGAGGAGTGTTTAACGCATTGCACAGAGGACTACATGATTCTTCCGATTAAGCAACCTCTCGGCGACGCCGACATTAAAGCCCGAATTAGCAGCATGAATACATAAGAAACTGAGAGAGGTTGGAAAATAGTGGTTATGGTAAAAATTGTCCACGAGAAACGCGACCTTCTTCGGAGCCCATCCAACACAAAATCTTCTAGGGTTCTTGTTTTTTGGGAACAAAATCATATTCCATATGGTAGGCAACTTATTTTTTATTTGCTTTACATCACCCATTATCTGATCTACTGTGTAGATCCCAACACTTCTTCCATTCGGTTCGTTTCCTCGTATCTATTGTCTACGAAGGTCGTAGGAATTGGGTGTGGTTTTGGCCTCTGTATGCGGATTTTCGTCTTTCTCATGAACTTCAATGAATGCTGATCGAGTCCATTCTCTCTGTAATATCGGGAACACCAAGCTGAGACGTTCGTGTGTTCATCAAAGAAAGTTACTCAGGCCCAGAGAAGTCTGGCACCAATTTCTCTACTCCGGATGGATGGAAGGCATGGTGAGCGCGGGCGGAGTCACACGAGCACCATGTTCGTGATAAATGGCATCATCACCACTGTGCTGCCCGCTTCGTGATCCAATCAATAAGTTTGAAAATGTAACAGTTTGAAACCGTTAATTGGTTCAGAGAGTTGGACAGTTTACGTCCATAATTTTTACTATTGAGGTGGAGAGAATGAATCGACTACAGGTGTGATGTAGTAAACGCATGCACATCGGTTGGACACGGCGCCGAACCAACTAAGCTCTCTCACCCTTCATATGTTGGAAAATTGATAGAAAACTTGTCAATTAGAAGTCTCTTTCAACCTAAATGAATAAACGATTGTCTGTAGGAATGAATTAGGAATGATTTAGTATAGTTAGCTCAGGATTCGAAGGTGAACTTAATCAGCATTGAGGAAGCCATATCAATACATGAGCTCGAAGTCCTGCGTAAAAGATGAATGCGAGACAACGAAAATTACCAAAACTCTAAAATGACCTCCCAATTGTAGCTTTTTTTTACATGTTTCACATAGTCACCACTTTTCCCCTATGTACTGTCTGATCCACATAGTAGGACTGCAAATCAACAAACCACATCACGCCTTGAATCACACGCAAACAACCGCTGTTTACTGCATATATTCAACGACTTTTGAATAAATATTTTCATTTGAGGACGATAATATTGCTTCACGTTCTTGCCTTCTAAGTAGTCAAACGACTTACTTCCAACTACAATGATGCCGAGATATTCATAAGACGTGGACGTCGGGCCAGGTCGAACCACAATTTCCCTTTCCGGAGGCTCGCGCGTTATACATTGCTCCACGGAGACCCTTGCTCTGCGTTTCAATCTGCTAGTTTTCTACCTAACGCTGCCATCACCAATCATCCTTCGGCGGGGTTAATCTGGTGAACCCAAATCGGTATAGAATCCACTTAAGCTGAGGCTGTATTTTGTTAATGCGCGAGCGTCGGAAAGGGAAATCGTGGTTTGATCTGGCTCGGTGTCCAAGTTTTGCGAATATCTCAGCATCGTCGTAGTTGTAATTCACATCATACCCTGCCGTGAAAAATTATAAAAGCTAAAAAGGATAAAGCTCTCGGCGTTGATCGATCCCTGAGGGATGTGCCATGCATTCGACTTCATTAAGCAACGTTGGAGGTAAATGAACGCATTTCTGGCCTTTACTAGTGGTGGCCTCCTGATGTATCGAGCCAGTGTTGCTATCCTCGCAGACAAGTCTGGTACCAATTTGCCGACCTCGGAGGGATGGAAGGTTCGGTGGGCCGTGCGCGTAGAGATCGATTCCACGTGTGTGTCGCAGTGGCGACTCCAACCACTGCGCCACAGGATCCCTTGTGAAAAATTATAGTAAGCGGAAAATAAAAAAATGATTAATGATGAACGAATAATCAGTTGTAAGTTCTACCTACAATATCAATAAAACTAAATTCTGCATTACTTAAATATGGGAAGTTTACAATTACATTAAAATCCTATAGGATTTTTTGACATGAGTATGGTATAGTTAGAGGCCCACTCCAATATCCACATGTTTATTGGTGTGATCTTTCTGCCAGAACCAACCGTGCCTTCCGTCTCTCTCGGCTTACGATCTCTGGGTTAGCGCTCAGTTCCGGGTTAATCAAACCTATAACTTCTTCACCCCTAATTATTGTAATCGGTTTTACCCACGAAGGAATAAAAAGCTTTGATGTGTTTGTTCATCTATTGGCTTCCCATTTATCCGTACAGATAGAATAGAAGTTACGTTTTTATTGATCTGATTTAGACTGGCCGTGGCTAGAAAAGTTATTGTTTGCAGTTTCTTCGGCGATTAATAGTAGGAATACAGCTTTTAGATCAATGGCGTCATGACCGAAGCTACAAAAAGTATTCTAATGATTCGGGTTCTCGCTCAAACAAAGGATAAATATTTCAATGACTTCTCTGTTGGTGCTCCGAAAATCCGCATTACATCTCTATTATATGAATGTGTCGTTTTCTTGTTCAGCAGTCGCAAGGTTTTTAAACAGTATATATTTAACTCTTTTATTTACTGCCTTTTTCTTCTTAATGGCAGGGTATGTTGTGAAATATAACTCGTATGAAGTGCTGAGATATTTGCAAAACTCCGGACCACAGGTGTATGCAGTGGGGAACGAACACGCGCTGTTGTCCTTACCAGGGGTCATACGAGTTATATTTCACAACATACCCTGCCATTAAGAAGAAAAAGGCAGTAAATAGAAGAGTTAAGATTGTGATTATAACGAGGCTGTGATTAATATTGGAATGTTCTCTATGTAAATCAATTATAACCTTATGTCAAACATTTTCGAATGCGGCTTCCGGTGACCTTTTCTCTATGACGATCCGATAACCACATGGCTAACATTTCGTTAGCGGTTATCTCATGAAAAACATCTGCAGTTACAGTCCTATGCTTTGACTATCGTCTTACCAGATTGCAACGCTTGTGAAACGTTCCCGGCAGCCGTCCTTCCGCATACTGTAGCCTGACTCCACCTACTATAACCCCACTCCACCTACTGTAACGCGACTCCGCCTATTGTAGCCTGACTCCGCCCAGCCCAAAAGTTATATAAACGGCTCCACGGCTGACTAGCTCAGGTCACAGCAATGCCGCCCAAATCACCATATCCTTTCCTCACATCGATCTCATGTGCTCGAAGTCTTATGACAACCTCTTCACTCTTGAGCAACCTGAACACAAGAAATCAGGCTGCGCCTATTCATTACTTGTATCATTGTTGTATTAATTGTACAGTTGTATTGTTATGCCATAACTGTTGTATAATCATGGTAAACGGTTTAATTACCCAAGTTTGAGATTTCCGGCATTGTGACTACTACTTACAAGAAGTCCCGCGTGGCATACACAAAGGCGAGCAGCAAATTCCGACCTAATCATCTTAACTACTTGGTATTCCTATATAATCGAGCCGTCCCACCATATAGATAGTTGATATATTTATTTATGTGGTCTTATAAACTGATCTTCTTAAGCTGACGCGAGGTTGGTACAGATCTTCGTTGTCGTTGTCGTTGTCGTTGTTTTTGATGTTATTGAATGATGGCTGACGTTTCGGCGACTTCGCCTTCCTCAGAGCCGTGATGTTACGTGCAGGACTCAGCTTGAAGTTTAGAACAGCTGATTATAGTCGCATGTGGTGGACGACTGCACC